CCGGCGGCCGCTGACCCGCCGCTCCCTAGGACTCGCTGCTGGCGGCGCCCATCATGCTGGACCTCGCGCTGCTCACCGAGCTGTGCCAGCGCGTCAGCTTCTGCACCGACTCCGACCCTGAGCCGCAGCGCTTCCACTCGGTGCTGTCCCTGCTCAGCTTCCTGTTCAAGGCGCCGCTCGTGCCGCCCGGCAGCCCGGTGGTGAACGCGCTCTTCCGCCAGCGCAGCTGCATCGAGAACATCCTCAGGTGCGTGCGCGGGCCGGGCGGGCGGCGGTGCGGGGCCGGGCTCCCGCTGAGGCCGCCTCGTCCCGGTCTCCAGGGCGTGCGTGGGGCTCCCGCCGCAGAACCACATGCTCCTGGAGTACAAGATGGAGCGCCCGGGGCCTGGCAGCAAGCGAGCCGCGCCCCTGGGCGCCACCGGCCCACTGCCCTGCAAGAAAGGAGCGGCGCCCGCGGCCCCCAACGGCTGCACTGGCGACACCAACGGGCACCCGCAGGGAGCGCCCCCGATGCCCACGGCCTGAGGCTGCGATGCTTGGTCCGGCCCCTGCCCCGCAGGACTCGACCCTCCCTGTCCCCAGTACAATAAAGCCAGCGTCCCCCTGCCGAGCCTCCGCCGCGGGTCTTGGTGTGGGCGCCCCGCCCTGCGTCAGCCCCGCACCCCCTCCCACTCAGCCCCGAGCCCCGGGCGGCGCTGAGTCCAGGTTGGGAGTCGGGACACCCGGTACCAAAACCCAAAACGAGTTCCGTTTATTGAGGGGGCCAGGGGTGACCGTGGGCCAGGCCCAGCAGGGAGAAAGCGTCTCTGAGGTCCTTGCATTTTTATAAAATGAGAGTCCTTCGTGCGGGGCTCCCGGCCGTCCCTGCCCGGCGGGCCAGGTGTCCGGGTGCCAGAGCTGTGACCCGGGCCGGCAGGGCATGGCTGCGCCCCGCCCGCCCGTCACACGCTCATGGTCATCCCTGGGGAGTACTGCGGAGAGAGGCGCGGGCGGGCTCAGCTCCGGCCTCGGCTGGACCCCCAGGGGCGGGGCGGGCGGGGG